AACAACAACAACAACAACAACAACAACAACAACAACAACAACAACAACAACAACAACAACAACAACAACAACAACAACAACAACAACAACAACAGACATGGAAACAAAAACACGTCAGCAGCTTCATAAAAACCTGAAGCATCATCTTCAGTGGAGACAGGAACCAGAACCAGTTATCAGGACTTACTGGACCTGTCAGAACACCTGCCTTCTCTCCGGGGTCTCAGCCTTTCATCACCTCCAATATGGCTGTAAACAAATAATAATAAATAAACTAAAATGAGAAACACAAATCTGCAGTCCAAAGTAAAACATCAGATCTGTCCGTCTCCTTCAGTCCACAACTGTTAATTCAACTTTACTTTAATGTTTCTGTTCATCCAAATCAAAACAGACTCACCTGCTGCAGGTACCGGTTCTGATCAGATCAGCTACACCTGAGGGTCATCAGCGCTATGGGAGGAGGCGAGGGACATTCCCGTACACTGGAGAAATTATTCAACTTTAAGTCTAATAAATCCTAATTAAATGTGTCCTTTAGTGGCAGTTCTGATAAAAGTTGTTACTGATTAATAAAATAAAATTAATCCTCGCAAGCTACACAAGTTTATATTTCACCTTAATTTGTTTTATAACTCTATTTTGATTTAAATTGCATTTTTACTGTAGATTATTGTCTTCCTGAAACAGATCAGTCTTGTAAATGAGTCCTCGTGACTCAATGAGACTAACCTGAATAAATAAAGATTGAATGAAAAGTGGCTTTTATTTTGAAAGCACATCCTGTCTGCGCGTGCTCGCGGGTTCATCAAAGCTTTGTCCCTCGGTGCGGTCTGACAGGCGAGCACGATTTAATTATAAAACTTTCATATTAGTAGCTGTAGTTTTTATTTTATTATGAAGCAACTTTATAAAGAACAAACTGAGTTTTCATGATTTTAAACAAAATGTTGAAAATTTCATTAAAGTGACAGAAATATTTTAGTCTGGTTTCTATTATTAAAAAAACATCTAAAAAATGTTTGTGCTTTAGTAATTTATCTGAAAAAGTCTGAAGATTAAAACAAATTTACAAGCTTTATTTTGTAATTAGCTCATTCTTTATATAATTTTTGTTGCTTTGCTCAAATATTTTGATAGTTTTCAGCATCTAGTCGTGTTTTATAAAAAATGTACAGAATAAAAACAGTTTCCTGACAGAAGCAGACGCAGACCAAACTTTAGTTGTTGTTTACTTCCTGATCCGTTATAAAATACAGGAAACACGTTTTATAAAACAGGTTTTAATATTCAGAATAAAAAATACTGAACCTAAGAGGAGAAATGAAACATTCACACGAGGACTCGTTTACATCACAACACCAAAATAAATCTTTAAATAGTTCTGTAAAAAACAGCTGATTTTGTTCTGAAGGACCCGCGGGTCATTTCACACCTTAAACGTTTTGTTTACTTGTTTATTTGTATAAACAACAGCTGATCATACTTCATATATCAAGCTGTTCTGTTCCTTTTTCTGATTTCATTTATTCAACAAAACCTTAGTGTTGCCAACTTCTTTTTTCTTTTTTAACGTGTTTTGCCGTTAATCGTCTGTGAACGACGTCCAACAGTTCGAGTTTCTCACCGATCTGATCGAATTTAAAACATAAAAAATGAAATCCAACCAGAACCAGACGGACGTCGGGCTGAAGAGAAGCTTCCATCCGGACGTGTTCGTCGTGCTCCTGCAGCAAGCTGAAGACTGGAATGATAAAAACAGCAGAGCAGAGCTGGGGGGCCGTTTCCTCCAAACTCCCCCCCAATAAAAACAGCCCTGAACTCATAAAGGGCTGTTTCACCAAATATTCAGGGTCAGATCTGTCAAAAACTACAAGAAATGATTCAAGCCTGGACTAAAACATTCTGAACCGAAGGCAGAATCTGAAAAACACGGTTTGTGTTCAGAGACTTTTTTTTTTTTTTTTTTAGAAAGTTCAAAACTTTTTTTTTTTTTTTTTTACAAATAGAAGAAACGTTCACAAACGTTCATCTGCTGGTCGAGTCCAAGTCTGAACAATCTTAACTTGTTGTTTTTGGAAACGGTCCGAACGCTGAAGATCAGTGGAGCAGTGTTCAGAACCAGAAGCAGCTGGTACTGAGTGGACCGACCCGGTGAAGGACACCTGAGCTGTCGGGTCACAGTAAAGATCTAATAAAGTCAGAAGCACAGAAACAGTCCTGCTGGATTTAGTGTCGCGTGTTTCAGAGATCGTCTGTCCTCGGAGGTTTTTCACTTCTCATCGGACTCGACAGACGTTCGTCCTGCAGAGGGACACAGAGGACATTGGACCCGACAGACATCTGTCCTGCAGAGGGACACAGAGGACGGTCCGAGGTGAAGGAAGAGGAACGTGTAGTGTAACTTCAGGTTCCGCCTGAATGAAACCATTAAAAGTTTAAAAACATGTCCTCTCATGCTTCCTGTACAATCATCAGTTAGTGTCTTTAACGATCACGACCACCACGTGCTCCTCGTCCAGATTACCCACAGTCCTCTTGGCCTCCTGCAGGAACTGCTGCGAGAACTCTCCGGGGGGGAAGGCGTACAGCATGGCGCCCGGCCCGCTCTCCTTGGCGGTGGGCAGGCTCACCACGCCGGCAGCCTCTTTGTTCCGCAGGTACGTGACCAGGTGGCGCATCAGGCGCACCTGCAGGCCCGGCTCGGGGCCCGGAGCCTGCCGGTCCACGGGGCCCTGCAGGGCCAGAAGGATGGCGAAGCCGTCGGGGCGGCCCAGCTTGATGCGGCGCAGCACCTCGTCAAGCCGAGCCTGGTCCATGCGCAGCCGCTGGGCGATCTTCAGCTGACTGGGCTGGTTCTGGTTCTGCAGCGTCATCACCGTGTTGAAGAAGGCGGCGCCGCCCTCCAGCAGGAACAGGTCGGTGGGGAAGCTGCTGTTCTTCAGGGCGAAAAAGCCACGCCACAGTTTGGACAGAGCGCTCTGGGCGAACTCGGACAGCGTGCACGGTGGAGAGGAGGTGTCTGTGGGGGCGGCGGGGGAGCCAGGGACCACCGCCTCGCTGCCCCGGTGGTGCTGGTTGTTCAGGTGGTCCACGGAGGACCTCTTGCTGTGGTGGCGCCCGGATGTCGGCTCTTCTTCGGTGGTGGTGGCATGCCGACCCGCTCCTCCGATATCGGGGGAGTGATCTTGCGGTTCTGTAGTGGAGTCGGGGGCTCGAACCCGTGCACAGTCCGGGCTTGCTTCAGGGGAGACGGCTCCTCCAGGACCTCGAGCCCTGGACCTCCCCCTGTCCTTCTCCTCTGTCTGCCTGTCGGTGGACGGACTCCGGCTCTTCCTCCGGTTCTTCCTCTCCTCTCGCTCCTTCAACCAGTGCTCCCGGCTCTTACTGCGGCTGCTCGCTCCTCTCTTCCCAAATGCCTCCACCCCCCCGGGCCTCCGCTCCAGGGTTCGAGATGGACTGCTTGGAAAGTCTACCTCTAACAAGGCCCTGTCCCTCAGTGAGAGCAGGCTGTGGGAGGGGGGAGAGCGGTCCCTGGCGCCCCTCAGCTCCCGCTCCAGGCTGCGATGGCGGCTGTACGCCTCCCCCAGGAGGTCATAGTGGGCTGGGAGCACAACAGGAGGCTGGTAACCAAGAGGGAAAGGACGAGTGGGGCTCTCCTCAACTTTAGCAAAGTCCACCCTGAGGCGGTGCTCCAGGCCCGCCAAAGGAAACCCCCTCATCTGCGTGCAGGCAGCCTGAGCTGCGTCCAGACTCTCGTACTGAATGTAGGCGAAGTTGTCCCCCTTCACATAGTCTATGTTCCTGATGCTCCCGAAGCGATCGAACTCCCGAGCCAGGGCAGCCAGAGAGTTCCCGGGTCCCAGACCCCCCACCCAGAGGCGGGTGGTGGGGTTCGCTTTGCCATAACCGATCTTTATGGGGTTGCCACCAATGGGCCGGCCCTGCATGGCCACTTTGGCTCTGTGGGCCATGTCCAGGTTCTGAAACTTGACAAAAGCATAAGCCCCACCTTGTCCACGCGCCGGGCGTTTAATCACCACGTCCTCAATGACGCCATATTTATCAAAGCCCCTCCTGAGGACGGCCTCCGTCACGTTCCCGTCCAGGTTCCCGATGAAGAGGTTACTGGTGGCCCTCTGGTCATCCTCGGGCTTCAAGTCCTCCACTACCGGGACCACCGGGAGGCCGTAGGGCCGGCCCCTCTCATCCAGCATGCCGTAGTAATCCAGCAGCCTCTCCCGGTCTCTGCTCAGAGCCAGGCTCTCCAGGGCCAAGTGTCTGGCTCTCAGCTCCCGGAGGTTGCTGACCCCCGGGACGGGCGGGGACAGGGAGCGCTGCCGGTACGGGTAGGGGGCGTTCAGGGGTAGAAATCCAACGTCCGGCGGGGTGACACTCCGCCTCCTCACGTACATGGGCTCCATTTTCAGCTGCCGCTCGCCCAGAACCAGCCTGGAAGATCTGGCGTGCCGGGCCTCCTTGGCGTCCTCCGGGTGGCGAAAGTTCACGTAGGCGATCCGGCCGAGCTCCGGGGTGTGGGACAGTTTCACACTGACGTCCCCAAACTTTTTGAATTCATGGAACAGGGCGTCCTCCACGTCCTCGTCCGAGACCTGCGAGCCCAGATTACTGATGAGCAGCGTTTTGTACTCCACCGTGCCCGGCCTGGCGGCGGGGAGCTCGGCCGCGGTGGTCCGGAGCGGCGGGCGGCCGAGGAGGCTGAGTTCATGGCGGTGGTGGAGCTCCAAGGCGGCCGCCCGCTCCTCCCGGAGCCGGGGCTTCTCCCGCTCCCGGCTCCGGCGGTGGTAGCTGCGGCTCTCGGTCACCAGCAGAGCCAGCGGCGGGGGAGGCAGCTCCTCTCTGCGGGCGCTCTCCCGCTCCCGTATCCGCTTAGCGATGGCTCTGGACGGACTGCTCTCCCTCCCGGCCTGCCGCTTCATCTTTCACCGGAGGACGGAGCTGAAACTTCTCGGTGCCTGCAGCGGGAATCCAGAAGGCTTCGGTAAAGACTCGGTTCCACAGCGGCCGGTGGTTTTTGGCACATTAACGGTTAAAAAAGGTTAAAATGGTTAAAAACAAACACAGCATCGGAAGAGCTGCCGCAGCGCCGCCATCTTGGACAATAGGAATGTGCGCGTTCCCAGAGGACAGTGAACGTGATGACGTCAGCGCGTAGGACGTAACGTCGTTTACTATTTAAAAATGTATTTCTTCATCTAAAATAGTTCAATCCGGTCCTCTGGACATATTTCTTAATATTTACATTATGTAGAAAATATGTTTTTTATTCATGTAGTAAAAAATAAAGTCCATCGTCTTAGATTATTGTGCACAAGTTTTAATCCGTTCTTTTTTTCTAAGCAGCCAGATTTTCATGTAATCTTTAAATGTTAAGGTTTTTTTTTTTGGTTTTTTTGACCCTGTCCTTGTTCCTGAACATTTCCAGAAGAATGTTTTAATTCTAATCTCTCTCAAGCTCCTAAACTGGAGGGAAAAAAAACTAGAGGTACGTCAACAGATAAAAGAAAAGTTCAAGCTTATTTTTTACGTTTCATTTTATTTCTGCTCTTTGTTCCCAGCAGCACCAATACGCTTCTGGAAACTTGACCGATGCATTTAAAGCTAAATCTTTTTAGTGTGTTTGTTTATAAATGGTGTGAAATCTGCAAATCAGTCAAATTATTTTTACTGGCTTTTTTTTTTAATAAGACTCATTTCTTGAGTACAAACAAAATAACAATTTTGAATAATTTGTTTATACAATTTTTAAACTTGTTACAAAAAATTTAAGAAAAACCATTTTGGGATGAAATTAGATAAAAACATGAAACGGTTCTGTGCTGGAGGATCCAGTTTGACACCAGATCTGTGAGAAACCCAAGCTCTTCACAGAAAGATGTTTAGATCCCTCCATGGAGCAGGGATCCAGTCTGAACTGGACCGTTTAGACGGATCCACATCAAGAACCGTCATCCATCAACAGCTGATCTATCCACGAACCATCACGCAGAGGAATCCGGGTCAGAAGAGACAGGGATCCCAGAAGAGCAAATGGAACAAAGTCCAAAAGCTTGGTTCTGTGAGGACATGGGCTTGGATGAGGTTCTGGGATGGGTCAGCTCCAAATGCTCAGCCACACAAACTCCAGTGGTATCGTATTTGTTCTGGGGCTGTTTGGCTGCTCAAAGAGGTCCAAAAGCCCAGTTCTGTGATGGCAGCACTGATGCAGAATCATTGCATCTTTTCCACAAGCGGCGCCGGAGATCTTTCACCGAGACCAGATTCTGCTCATTCCAAAGACCGAGGAGGAGACGGGTTCTGGGCTGGCCCGACTTGTGAGGGGGAGGACCCGTCGTCCACTTTCACCCGCCAGCTGGGTCAGAACCAGGTCCCATCTCCAGCCTGGAACAACCTTAAAGCCTCCGTTGGAGCAGAGTCGCTGCAGAACATAAAATAAATTCTCAAATTATTCTCTTCAAAGTATTTTGTTCAGTCCAGATAAATAAAAATGTTTATTTTGGCTCCAAACTTTAAACCTTTTCTCTTCCTGAGGATTATTTCACATGAAGGACTCACTCATTAAAATAAATCCTGTAGATTTTTATCAACAGACCAAACAGGAAGTACCCGAGCGGCGCTGCATCTCACTTCCTGTTGGCAGCGGTCTGAGTGAACTCGCATCACGTTTAGACTTTTTTAATTTATTTTTGTGGAAAACTGGCATCACTTTGTTTTTACAGCAGCTTCCTCCGGTGGAAACCGAACAATCCGACAAAACGGACCGATTTCAACATAAACTTATTAAAGCACCTTTCAAAATAAAAGCCTCAGATCAATGATCTGCTGCTTCGAACAATTGATTTTATTAAACCCAGGAACGTAAAGAAGCATAAAAACAAACAAAACAAAAAAAAAGCAAAAAGTGATGGAACTTGTTTAATAGTTTGGGTTCTGATCGATGACAGGAAACCAAAAACACAAACGGAGATAAAAACGGAGCCCCGAGCAGCCGGTTCTGATGGACCCGCGTCCTGAACAGACGCTGCAGCGCCAAACTCAGCAAATAAAAATAAACTTATTTTGATGGTGAAAGTGACCTGCAGATCAACGATGGGGGTTCTGCTCAGCGACCCTCTCTGCAGTGGGGTGATTTGGACATTTATTGTGAAATGTGTAGCAGGAAGCAGCAGCTGGCGGCTTCCTCCCACTTTACTTACAAGTACAGTATAAAGACCAGAACCTACAGGTCCGATTGAGCAGACCGAGACGAACGTGACTAAACTCCTCAGCCGCCTCGTCATCATCATCATCCCTCCTCAGCATCCTCCTCCTCCTCACAGGATCCAAGCCCGTTTAAAGTCCAATCCAAAGTTTATTTTGTTTACGTCATCACGTTACAGATCTGTCCGTGCCTTGGCAGCTGCAGGAGCGTACTTGGGCATGAGTTCCGTGATTTTGCGGATGAAGTCGGACTTTTCGGCGCAGCCTTTGCACGACTCGCCCCACTCCTCCAGAATCTTCTTCAGGTCCTTCACTTTCAGTTTCTTCAGGTCCACTGTGGTCAGGTCCAGCTGTTTGTCTGCAAGAGACAAAAATGAGAAATGTTCAACCTTTTCAGGCCCAGAGGGGACACGTTGTCCTGAGCGACCCGCCTCGGCCCGTCAGAACCTCACCGTATCTCAGCTCACAGATCTGACCGTCCTTCTTCTTGAGTTTCTCGCAGATCTTCTCCACCGGGACGTGGTGGCTGAGCGGTTTGGACACCTCGTTCACGATCTTTGTGGCTGCGTCGCTCGTTGCTCCGATGTAATAACACTGAACACAGGGCCGAGAACAGAACCGGGAATTAGACGGGTTCCAGAGGTTCTGAGGACAGGTCTACATCCACATATTTTCTAACTGAACCGGGTGGAATTAAACTTATGGAAAATAAAATTAATAAAATTATGACGAATAAAACTTATGTTGTAAAATGACGCTGTGATGAAATCAAATCTTTGTACGTGTTGGTTTGGACCAATCAGAACTAGGCCTGTCACAATAAGTTTTGCTGGGCGATTAATTGTCTCAGAAATTATTGCGATAAACGATAATATTGTTTGAAATTTGATAATAATTAGTAATTATTGTCAAATGCGTCTTGTTGTGGCTCCTCAGACCGATGGTAGTCTTTTGGATGAAAGACGAAACGTTTCAACAAGAAGAAACCGTCCAGAGGACCTGAATGAACTTTGTTAAACCCCGAGTCATTTTATATTTATTTTAAATCAGGTAAAACTGGCAGCAGTAGTTTATTGAGATGAATAAATTTATAATTTACACCAGATAATCAGAGGAGATGTTTCAGGTTTAACTTTTTTTAAACCAATAAATAAACGGAGGGTTCTGTGGATCATTTGGACCTGTGGTTCTGTGGATCATGTGTGGCACTTACATGTGGATAATTTTGTCTATTTTGTTATGGCGTCATATCTTTATTGTAATGTCATGTTGTGTGTTGTAGTGATGTTTGTGTTACTCTCTGCTCGTTGTTTGTGGGATGTTTCTTGTTCTCACCTGCCTCAGCACAACTAATAACTCCGGCATATTTACAATGATGCTTACTGCTGACATGTTGATTAATATTCATTGTCCTAATTTAAATAAATAAATAAATGAACTGGTTCACTCACGAAGCGGTTATCTTTTCCTCTGGCGGCGCTGCAGCTCTTCAGCAGCGCCGTCTCGATGTCTGCGTTGTTGAAGTTTGTGTTGCTGTCCTTCAGAGTCTGATAAAACTTCCCCAGGAAGCTGACGCACACTGAAACACAAAAACAAACAACAACTGAAACACAAAAACAAACAACAACTGAAACACAAAAACAAACAACAACTGAAACACAAAAACAAACCGAAACACAAAAACAAACCGAAACACAAAAACAAACCGAAACACAAAAACAAACAACAACTGAAACACAAAAACAAACAGAAACACAAAAACAAACAGAAACACAAAAACAAACAACAACTGAAACACAAAAACAAACAACTGAAACACAAAAACAAACAAAAACTGAAACACAAAAACAAACAAAAACTGAAACACAAAAACAAACAACAACTGAAACACAAAAACAAACCGAAACACAAAAACAAACCGAAACACAAAAACAAACAAAAACTGAAACAAAAACAAACAACAACTGAAACACAAAAACAAACCGAAACACAAAAACAAACCGAAACACAAAAACAATCAAAAACTGAAACAAAAACAAACAACAACTGAAACACAAAAACAAACAAAAACTGAAACACAAAAACAAACAGAAACACAAAAACAAACAGAAACACAAAAACAAACAGAAACACAAAAACAAACAACAACTGAAACACAAAAACAAACAACAACTGAAACACAAACAAAAACTGAAACACAAAAACAAACAAAAACTGAAACACAAACAAAAACTGAAACACAAAAAAAGAAACAAACAAACAAACAAAAACTGAAACACAAACAAACCAGATCTATTTACCTTTGAAGCTGCTCGTAAACAAGTTTAATGTTTGAAAACTTTGTTTCACTGAATCTCATTTATTAGGAAAATGAACAATTATTGATCCACTTCACTCGAATCTGACGTTGACTCTGAAACTTTGGACTCATTTATAAAATCATATTTTAATTTATTTTAAATAAATTTTTATTTTGAGCTGCAGCCTCTTCAGGACCAGAACACGATTAAATCAAATGTTTTCATTCTCTTGTTTGGTACGCTGAAATACCGTAAATGGTTTTATAGTTTAAAAAAAAAAAAAAAAAAAATTCATCCATCCAAAACATTATGACCACTCTCAATTATTCAGTTGGACTTTTCCCTGACCCGTTTGACCCGTCTGTGGTTTCTGACACAAACCCGTCAGCAGCAGATCCTCTGAACTTGGATGCTCTGAAGTGGGACTACTGTGAATCGGGCCTGCTGGTCCAGAACATTTCTCAGATGCTGGACTGAACTGGGTTTGACACCTTCAACTGGTTGTTGTGCCCCTCAAACAGTTCTTGGTGTTTCTGCAGAGTGGGCGGGCCGGGAGCATCACTCCTGATGAGAGGCCATCATCAGGTTCTGCAGGTCAAAGGAACGCCCATAGAACCTATTCGTTCTGCAGGAACACGCCATACAAACGGCAGGACCCAAAGATTCCCAACTTTGTCCACAGCATCACTGCTACCTTCAGCTAGCATTTTAGCTACTTTTAGCTTTCAGCTCAGTTTCTTCAGCTACTTTCAGCCTTCATTCTGTATTCACATAAAAAGTATAATTACCTAGTTTTATTTTATATTTCCTCCACTCACTCAGTATTTTATTTATACTGGTTATTTATCCTTTTTTTAAATAAACAACTTTATCAACCTCCAGAATCTAAAGAAATTAAATCAAATTTTTCTGATCTTTTCATGTTTCTTACCTGTCTGAAACATTCCTCAATTACTTTTACACACACACATATACATTATATAGATACATATATATATATATATCAATATAATTTTGATTTATTTTATAGCCCAGCAACTTCCGGTGGATGTTGGCTTTGAATGGATGTTTGTCGCTGTCCGTCTCAGTAAAAGTGTTAAAATAAATAAACAGAACGAGATCAGCAGCTGAATGCGTTAATAAACCAGGTGTAGATGAGCTGATTTTCCGGCTGTTTGTTAGTTTTCCAGCTGATTTTCCGGCTGTTTGTTAGTTTTCCAGCCTGGCAGCCCCTCGCTAGCCGCGGCTAACAGACGAGCTAACACTCGGTCCTACCTTCACATTCTCCTTCCTTCAGGGCTTCAGTGGATCCAGGCACGAGGGTGAGCGCGAGAGCCACCGACAATCCGCTCAAACTCAACATTTTGACCCGAATAAACTCTCAAAGATGTCCGCTAAACCTCCGTTCAACACGTCCGCACGGTGCTCATGAGACTCTGCCGCTGCTACAGAGCTGACAAACGCCGGTAAACCGAGTGAACGCCGGTGTTTGACTCAACCGGCCTCTGATTGGTCAGAAAGTCCAGAGTGAACCACGCAAACCCCTCTGATTGGACAGAGGACTGTCAAAGGCGGGGCATTCCGGGTGCAACGTCCAGTTGGCGCCGTCTGATTGGTCCAGTGACAAAGCGCTCCAAATACGTGTTGCCTCGGCGAGTTCGTTCTTTTTCAACCGGACTCTGATTCGGCTAAACATGAAGGAGCGTCTCTCTTAAACGGAGGAGAGAAAGTATTTCCCGGCAGGATGAGTCAAGAGCGATTTTAATTTAAATTAATAAAGATCTGTCAACAATCTGCTTTTAATACAGCTTTCATTAACGGCCGTTGACGTGTCCGTCATAGAAACTCCGCCTACTTGGTGCGCCGCTCCGTCCGCCGGGGAATAAATGGGAGAGAGCCAGTGGTAGAAATAGAGGCTGGATTAAACTTGATAAAAACGGGTTAATAAACAGAAAATAAAAAGGTTTGAATGTAGATTTCTGTGAAACTGATTAAAAAAATTCCTACAGAAAACCAAGAGAAAAGATCATAATATAATTTAATTTTATTAAACATTTTATAACTTTAGCATATAAAACAAACAACTGGTGATTCTCAGATCAAACAGTTCATGGTTATCACATCTTTACATGGACACAATCAGTCAAATCAGTTGAAAATGTCACTGCCTCCTGCACACGGCCGTATTCTTTCAAGGCTGTCGTTTTATAACTGCCTTTACACAAACTATTCAACATATTGTAAACACGTAGTCTCCTTTTTGTTTGAGGTGAAAGTTTCTGATTAGATTTTGTCAACAGGACTCTCTTCACTCAAGTGACTTGACAAATGAAAGTGTTTAAATAATGGACCAAACAGAGAAGCAGCAGCCAAAGTCAAAATAAAAAACTGAAACACCTGAAAGTTTGGAGATCTGTTGATCCAGACCGGTTCAGCAGATTACAGCAGTCTGGATCATTGGAACGAAAAGGTGGATTACTTTAGATCCACTGTGGGTCAAACTCTGAAACCAGAGCTCAGGAAGTCGTCTTTCGAGACACGACCCAAGTCAGAACCAGAAAATGAGCTGCAGGAAAACACAAGTGCCCCGTTTTAAAACGTGTCTCTTAATTTTACAAGAACACAAAGAAACTTTTTCCACTTGTTTATTGAGTGAAATCCAGACAGGTGAGTCCAGGCTGCGTGTTCAGACACTCATCAGAACTTTGGCAACTTCATCTGTAAACTTCAGCATTTCAACACAAACTGATTCATCGAGCACGAGAAGAAAGATCCAGATCAACGACAAACCGTGCGCTCCGCTCAGCTTTAGAACAAGAAAAAGGCGTTTGAACCTTTACATTCCATTTAAACGTCTACATTCCGCCCGGCAACAGAAAGACTTTATTTTATTTCTGGTTGGAGAAGCACGGCTCCTTCAGGTGTACATCATCTCAGCCATGTGGGACATCTTCTTGGGGATGTAGAGGTAATACTCCATGTAGCCGGAGAGGTCTTCTATCGTGATGTCGTCCACGTAGGAGCGCGCCTGCTCCGAGCACGAGCGCGGCGAGCCTGACGACGAAGAGGAGGAGGGAGAGTGAGCGCCGACAGTTCTGGGTGCGTCCCGGTGGCTGGGCGGGTTCCCCTCGCACTCAGAGATGACGCTGCGGAGCCCGGTGAAGGAGTACACCTCCATGCCGCTCCAGCCCTGATGGGACCGGCAGCTGCACTGAGGTCCGGACTCCTGCCCGCCCTCCTCCCGGGGATCTGAGGCCCCGCTCGGAGCGCAGGAGCAGGGGGGGCCCTCTGCAGAGCTGTGGAGCTTGGATAAAGACCGGAAGTCTTCGGCGCCGTCCCGGGAACTTTGCACGTCTCCGGACCTCTCCCCATCCCACCTGGGGGAGGCCGCGGGTGTAGTGGTCTCTCGTACGGAGGTGCCGCCATACCCGGGACAAACTCCAAACACCAGAGGGGAGACGCAGCCGGGCGTGGCTGAGGACGGCGCCTCAGTTTGGACCGGGGGCCCCGCGGAGGAAGCAGGTACTTCATCACCTGCGGACTCGCTCAGGGACAGGCGCTGGTGCTTCAGGCAGCCAGCAGGGGGCGACAGGGCCGAGTTGCTGCAGTAGGTGAACTTCGGGGGGTGGAGGATGGGGGACTTGGACCGCCGGCGTCGCTGGCTTCTAGACGAAGCTCCTCTCGTTTTCCTCACGCAGCTAAATGAACAGAGACACAAGATGAAGTTTAAACAAACTAAAACAGTAGAACTTGGTTCAGCGTCAGAAGCGTGGACGTCTGGCAGGAAGTGTTCCGGGTCAACGCCGCCCGTTGTCAATTGGGCCTGTCACAATAACACATTTTACTGAGCGACTGACCGTCTCAGAAATTATTGTGATAAACGATTACCTTGTTTGACATTAATTAGTAATTACTGTCAAATTTAAGAATAATTTTGGTTAATTTGTGTGTAGTACCTTTTTTGAACACTAGATGGCAGTATAAGATGGTTTCAACCGAAGGATGGATAGTGAAGGAGCAAGCAGCGTGTATCTATAAGAAAAATGGGAGGGAGGTCCCTTGACGTGACATGAGCTGTCTCCCTTTCCTTTTTTCGGTTCTCAAAATGGCGGACGCTCGGTGTGGTTTGAGCTCTTTAGCATTTTCACACAAAGCTTTTAATAAAAAAATCAGTAAACAAGTTCTCAGCTTCTTTTTTCAGACAAAAATAACTTTTTACACGAAGGCACGAGTTTCAACCGTGAATTTTGGAGCTTCGACAAGACGGAGGTTTTTTTCCTCGAGGTCGGCCTGTTAGCTTAGCTCGTAGCTTAGATTCTCAGTTTAGCTGCTTTTAACGTCCAAAAACGTGATTTTGGACGTTAAAACAGATTTTAAAGAGAAAGGGAGGCGTCAGTGAAGAGCACCGGAGTTGGGCCTTTTGTCTTCCAGCGTCTTCAGTAGAAAGAGAGACACGAAGAAACGATAAAGCCGATAAATGAAAATCACAACAGGTGTTGTGTTTACAGAGCGGTTAACACGACGCCCTCTGGGAGCGACTAAAACTGAAAACTGTCCCCGGGTCCAACAAGATGGAAGTCGTTGAGACCAGAAGACGAAGACTGCAGTTTGTAGGAACGTGCCCAAAGATAAAAACACGCCCGAGTCGGGTTTACTTGGTACAAATCAGGATCTGTACCAAGAATCAGAACCGGACTGAAGGTTCAGGTCCGTTACTTGGTGAAACTGATTCCAGAGCAGCGGATGTCGGTCTGACGCCACCTACCAGTGCCAGGTGTCCTTCGTGCAGCCCAGTTTGGTTTTGGCTCCGCTGCTGTCCACACAAACCCTGGAAGCTGCTCGGGGAGTCGACGCCTCCGAAACGCTCACCGCTCCGGGTAAACTGGACACACGAGAAGATTTTTATCATAGAACTGAAACACAGAGTGTTAAAGACCAGTGAAGAATAAGAAGGGACCAGCTGCACGTTTGTTTCTGTGAACATCATGTCGCAGAGAACGAGCAGCTCGACTCTGCAGCCGCTCCTCACGTCGGTTCTGGAAGGGTTCACTCATGGACTGGAGGTTTCGTTTTATAAAACTGAAGGTGGCACCTCGCTGCGACTGCTGGAGACCCACACATCTGAGAAAACTGTTGCAGACTCTCCGAGCGTTCAAAGCAGATTCGGACCGGTTCTGAAAGGTCGGTCATCAGACCTGGACCCTCAGGTGTCTTCTCTCAGAGGAGACCTCCAATATCCGAATCATCTCTGGACACAGAGACGACTTCAAGACATTTTGGAGACTTCCTGGAGAATCCGTTCACCAACTCGTCTCAGCTGCAGCTCAGGGAGACTCTGGAGGAAACGTGGGCGGAGTCATGAGTAAACGCTGATACCGACGGTGTGGACGGTTTACCTCTCGGCATCGACCCTCAGCTTCTTGAAGGCCGTCTGCAGCGTCTCCTCCTCGCAGTCTTTACCTCCTGCCTCCATGGTGGGAGGAGGCTGCTCCGACCAGCCCCCCAGCTGTGACACAAACACACAAAACATCTCAGTCGCTCCACATTTATAAATTAACAAAAAGCAGATCAACGCAGTGGAGAGAGCAGCCTGAGGATTCTGCAGCCATTCATGAAACCAGTCAGTGTGAGAAACTTCCAGAACTTTGATTCCAACAGAACCTGTGGGTTTTCAGTAACTGGAGGAGCTGCTTTAGTTTGACCCACTCTGAGGTTCTGCTCAGCTCTCGAGGTCCACCACAGCGTTTCAGTCAGGTTGAGGACTCTGACTGGACCGTTTCAGCACCTTGGTTCTGGTCTTTCTGACCCGTTCTGTTGTAGATCGGCTGCTGTGTTTGGAATCATGGTCCCGAAGGACCCCGTTTGGTCCAAACTTCAGCTGTTAGGACTCCAGAACCCGCTCAGGGACTGACAGGAGCCCAAACCATGAGCCCTCCAGCACCATGCCGACAGCTGGGTTTGGGTTTCTTCAGTCATGGCAAGACTGTGACTCAACATCTCTATTTTTATTAACATACTCTGAAAACTTATCAACTGAAAACTTCATAAAAATAAGAACAGGCCCGACAAGTCAGTTCTGCTCAGCAGCAACTTAAAACTTGACATTCAAACAGCAGGTGAGCGCGCGTGAGGTTTGTTGTATTTACAAACAATCCTTTACCGTTAGCTCCTGTTAGCATGAAGCTAACGAGCTAAGCGCTCCCTGAAGTTCGGGTTAACGGTTCCGAACAGCTTTGAGCTCCAACAGATATGCAGGTGATACTCACGGTTCGGCTTGTCCGGGTCTCAGCAGAGAAAGAAGGAACGACGGAGTCAAAGGAGCCCGAAGAAGACTCGGGGTGTTTCCAGAAAGGCTAACAGCAGCTAGCTAACAGCAGCTAGCTAACAGGCTCCGCCAAAACACGAGTCAACAACCGGGAGAACGCGGCGCATCCACGGCCCACGACTTTCTACAGAACCGCTCACGAACCAACCGCAGCTGTGATTAACCGAGCCACCGAGAGCCCACAGGTTCCGGACAGAATCAGGACTTTTCCCTCCCGTCCAGCTGCTTGTTTACAGTCAAACCGTCGCAGTGACTCTGCAACAACACCAAGCGGCTGACGTCACCAGCACCCAATCAACCTCACGTGACCTTGTATGGAGCTCCGAAGGTGCCCCAACAGCATAAAATAAAATAAAATTAAAATACAACGTTAAATAAAAAATAAATAAAAAAACATCAACAAAGCAATTAAGTAAAATTTGCCTTGAATAAATAGCACAAGACAATAATAAGAGGAAATTAAAAAATACTATTTTTAAACAAGTTAAAATTGTGACCAAACTGAAAGAATTTGTTAAACATAAAAAGGCTCAGTGATGTGTTACTCAAAAAAACAACACACAACAAACTGGCAAACTAATCAACTAACATGTACACATGAGATAATTAAATACATGAAATGATTCGTTAAAATCTTAAGCCATCCCACACATCTTTATTTTTTAAAGTCTTTTTTTTTACTGTTGTTGCACAAATTCTACAAACTTCCTGTCTAAGAGCAAAAAACATAAACAAATTTAATTCAAATTTATTTAAACACGGTATAGTTTATTTAATATTTAACACATATTTGAAGGGTGGTGACTTCAGATTTAATAAAAGTAAAGGCAATATGAAGAACTCGGTTTTCTTCCTTAACCCCAGTTATAAATGTAAAAGGTCATAATTCTATTTTAAATACAGACGAAACACTGAAAGCTGTTTGTGTGAATTGTTGGTTGGTTCAGTCGTTTTTATTAAAATAATGTGAAGAGTAGAAATGTTTTATGTGAGCTCTGACTGGTGACCATCAGGGGCAGCATCTGCACTGGTTTCCCTTCTTTACTTCTCAGGGTTAAATGTTACAAAGTTCTGCAGCAGCAGGGTGTGTCTGTTGAACCCCTCAGGGCTCAGAAAACCAGTAAACACTGAAAGATCCAACAGAAACCAGATCCGCCTCAATGGAACAAATGAGTGACTCAATGAGACTAACCTGCATAAATAAAGGTTGAAGTAAAAAATAAAGACTGGAGGAGAGCAGAAAACAAACAGAGGAAAGCTCCGCTGATGCTTGTTTATTTACTCATTTGTTTGTTTATTTACTGATTTGTTTATTTACTGATTTATTTGTTTATTTGCTGATTTGTTTGTTTATTTACTGATTTATTTGTTTATTGACTCATTTATTTGTTT